TGGGACACTTTGAGCCGAGAATATTGCACCTTTTCACAATATTTAAATTTTCTGAGATTGTGGATTTTGGGTTTTCATGAGCTGTAAGCCATAATCATCACAAATATGACAAATCACGGCTTGAACTATCTTGCTTTGCATGTAATGAGTCTATCTCATATATTAGTTTCACCTTTTAAGTTGCATTACTGAAATAAATCAACTTTTGCACGATTTTATAATTTTTTGAGTTTCACCTGTATGTACTTGGAGGGAATTTTTGTGCTCAATACAAAAATACATTGATAAAGCTGGCTGTTTGGATTAACATTCACTTTTGTAATCTCTAGTATCCCCATCACATTAAGGGAGAAAAAGCTCTCCTTTACTGTTAACAAGTTCAAAAAAAGTAAAGTTCATAAAATGATCAAGCTTGCATTAGAAAATGTATCCGTTTTGTACCTTGAGGTGTTGGTTTGGGCTATCTTGGTTAAATTAGGCTCTACATGGACCTTTGTGGACAACTTTGGGTTTGTGTTGATGGTATTGGTTTGAGAAGCTTCTGAGATTATTCAGATTTCAATGACAGGTGTTTTTGTCCTGCAGTTGAAATCTCTCTGACCTGCATTTTATCTGCGTCAAGCAAGTTTTTCATCCACAGTAAAAGGAAACAAAAACACTTTGACACAAACCCTCAAAATGATGTTTGCATACTATAAATCCCATTTGTAGCTGGAATGCCTTGGGGCCTACACAAAAATTAATTGTGTGTGTATATTTTGCAACCACTCATGTAAAATTGCTGGACAGAAATAAAACAAAAAGCAGCTTACCAGAAAAAAGCAATATTGCTCCTATTTACTAGTAATGTGTTTTGTAATTTATCAAGTAATTTTATTTTGGGGGCTGCATAATAGTTGCATTTAACAGAAAGTTTTGCTTTCAGAAACAAGTTATTTTTTAATCCGAAGGGTGCTTGTTTGTTTGAATTACCCAATAGGAAACTCAGGGAGCCCATTCATATTGTATAGAGTAAGGCTGGCCATACATTATACAATTATCTGCAGATTTTTGGTTTAGATTTACCAAAAACCATATAATAGGAGGACAAACCTAAACAACACTTTCAGTTGTATCCAATTAGGCAGGCCCTTGCACTACATAGTTGAAGGTAAATCTAAAGGAAATTGGGCAGAAAATCTGCAGATAATTGTATAATGTATGGCCAGCCTAAGGCTGGCCATACACTATACAATTTTCTTACAAATTTCTGTCCAATTTCTGCCCGATTTCCTTTAGATTTATCTTCAACTATGTAGTGCAAAGGCATGCCCAATTGGATACAACAAGTGTTGTTTAGGTTGCACCTCATATTATATGGTTTTTGGTCAATTTAAAGCAAAATTCTCAAGAAAATTGTATAGTGTATGGCCAGCCTTAGTTCAGAGGGATTGTGGTGAGACCTAAAGCCAGAACCCCATCACAAGCAAGAGATCTATCCATGTTGCCACCATGCTGTATATTTCAAGAATTTGAGACACAAACATAAAATGTTATTTATCTATTTATTTTTACCAAAATTCCCTTTCCACATTCCCATATATAGAATAATGGCAAACGAGAAGATTAGTTACACATGGACGATAAGTGTGCAAGAGGTTGTTCTAAATAAATTCAAATATGTATAAACATGAATTAGCAAACTACCCCAAAAAAATACCGAATAAATGCAGACCTTGGAAATTTTTAGATAAATCAATAAATCCCTATTAACCGATTGTGGATCTTGGGTTTAGGAGATACATTCTAAAAAAAAAGTCAAAGTTCCTAGGGTATATCTCATATGACCTGCTGCTTTTCCACTTCCTGGGAGCTATTTTTGGCATATTCTGGCTATTAAAAAAACAGATGGTATGGAGACCAAATGGAGGAACTTTGATCTGCATATGATCATCCTATGTATTGACAAAATTATCTCTGGATAAATAGGCTTAAGTAGCTCTCCTCTTTATGGGTGTACAGGTGTGAGAGCCGAGCTGGTTAAACAATCAACATGCTAGCCAAAAAAGGAAACCATGACCTATGTTAATTATTTCTTCTAAGCAGTTTGTACCTCTAGTAATTCTTCAAAGTAAACCCTGTCTTGATGTAAGTACAATAGGGAGCTGTGGACTAATTACATGCCTTAGCAGAATAAGAATGAAATACATTGTTCGTGTCAATTGTAGAAAAGAAAAGTCATGTACAAATAATTGGATCACTTGATTTATTAGATGACAGGACCATAAATTGCTTAGGGTTCAATTTTTTGAGCAGTTTTATAAGCTGTTTTTGTTGGTCAAGGCAATATTGCAAACAATTGTTGTAAAAGAACCTTGACCAAAATTATTAATTCATGTCGAAGTGTAGAACATAATGAAAAAATAAATAAAGCCAAAGCTACCAAATGAGTTTTAAAAAAAAAAATTAATTCATTTTCACATATTAGAAAGGAAAAATTGGAAAGGGCATATGTTTAAAGCGGGAGTCTATCAAAAAGTCATAGTTTGGTTAAAGATGGAGACTGGATGGCTTAGTCTGCCTCTCATAAACAAAGGATTTCCCAGCACACTTACAAGCCAGCCTGCAAAACAAAAAAATTGGCCCTGTCTAACCATTTACATTAAAAGTGGAGATGAGCGAATTATTCAAAAATTTCGATTCGGCTGATTCGGCGAATTTGCGGAATAAATTCAATTTGAGTCGAATATATTCGCTGCGAATTTAACTTATAAAAAGGGTGTTTCTAGGCTTCAGAGAGCCTTTATATTAGTGCAGAACACTGTACCTTTAATTTAAATGCCCTTGGAGTCTGCTGGGAAGAGAAATAATACTGTCAGTCAGTATGACATGCAGATGAGTGCCGTCGATCTTAGAATCACCGCACACTTCACTCATTTGGGCAGTCACGGGCCAAAACCAGAGTGTGGAGCCACAGTGTGGCGGTGGAAGGCAGCAGCAATGGGAGGCCATACAGCACCCTATGAAAAAATGGAACCCACCAGCAGTGTGAGGAGACCTGAAAGTGGCACATGGCAGAGTGTGGCGATGGAGACAGCAGCAATGGGAGGCCGTACAGGGACCCATGACACACTCTGGACCTGGCAGCAGCATGAGGAGGCGGTACAGGGGCCCATGACAGATTACGGGCCTGGCAGCAGCATGAGGAGTCGGTACGGGGGCCCATGGCAGATTACGGGCCTGGCAGCAGCAATGGGAGGCCGTACAGGGACCCTATGACAACTCTGGAACCTGGCAGCAGCATGGCACATGGAGGAGGCGTGGACAGGGGCCCATGGACAGATTACGGGCCTGGACAGCAGCATGAGGAGTCGGTACGGGGGCCCATGGCAGATTACGGGCCTGGCAGCAGCAATGGGAGGCCCGTAATCTGCCAGCACCCTATGACAAAATGGAACCCACCAGCAGTGTGAGGAGACCTGAAAGTGGCACATGGCAGAGTGTGGCGATGGAGACAGCAGCAATGGGAGGCCGTACAGGGACCCATGACACACTCTGGACCTGGCAGCAGCATGAGGAGCGCGGTACAGGGGCCCATGACAGATTACGGGCCTGACAGCAGCATGAGGAGTCGGTACGGGGGCCCATGGCAGATTACGGGCCTGGCAGCAGCAATGGGAGGCCCGTAATCTGCCAGCACCCTATGACAAAATGGAACCCACCAGCAGTGTGAGGAGACCTGAAAGTGGCACATGGCAGAGTGTGGCGATGGAGACAGCAGCAATGGGAGGCCGTACAGGGACCCATGACACACTCTGGACCTGGCAGCAGCATGAGGAGGCGGTACAGGGGCCCATGACAGATTACGGGCCTGGCAGCAGCATGAGGAGTCGGTACGGGGGCCCATGGCAGATTACGGGCTGGCAGCAGCAATGGGAGGCCCGTAATCTGCCAGCACCCTATGACAAAATGGAACCCACCAGCAGTGTGAGGAGACCTGAAAGTGGCACATGGCAGAGTGTGGCGATGGAGACAGCAGCAATGGGAGGCCGTACAGGGACCCATGACACACTCTGGACCTGGCAGCAGCATGAGGAGGCGGTACAGGGGCCCATGACAGATTACGGGCCTGGCAGCAGCATGAGGAGTCGGTACGGGGGCCCCATGGCAGATTACGGGCCTGGCAGCAGCAATGTGGGAGGCCCGTAATCTGCCAGCACCCTATGACAAAATGGAACCCACCAGCAGTGTGAGGAGACCTGAAAGTGGCACATGGCAGAGTGTGGCGATGGAGACAGCAGCAATGGGAGGCCGTACAGGGACCCCATGACACACTCTGGACCTGGCAGCAGCATGAGGAGGCGGTACAGGGGCCCATGACAGATTACGGGCCTGGCAGCAGCATGAGGAGTCGGTACGGGGGCCCATGGCAGATTACGGGCCTGGCAGCAGCAATGGGAGGCCCGTAATCTGCCAGCACCCTGAGGAGACAAAAAAATGGAACCCACCAGCAGTGTGAGGAGACCTGAAAGTGGCACATGGCAGAGTGTGGCGATGGGACAGCAGCAATGGGAGGCCGTACAGGGACCCATGACATTACTGGACCTGGCAGCAGCATGAGGAGGCGGTACAGGGGCCCATGACAGATTACGGGCCTGGCACCAGCAGCATGAGGAGTCGGTGAACGGGTGGCCCATGGCAGATTACGGGCCTGGCAGCAGCAATGGGAGGCCGTACAGGGACCCATGACACACTCTGGACCTGGCAGCAGCATGAGGAGGCGGTACAGGGGCCCATGACAGATTACGGGCCTGGCAGCAGCATGAGGAGTCGGTACGGGGGCCCATGGCAGATTACGGGCCTGGCAGCAGCAATGGGAGGCCCGTAATCTGCCAGCACCCTATGACAAAATGGGAACCCACCAGCAGTGTGAGGAGACCTGAAAGTGGCACATGGCAGAGTGTGGCGATGGAGACAGCAGCAATGGGAGGCCGTACAGGGACCCATGACACACTCTGGACCTGGCAGCAGCATGAGGAGGCGGTACAGGGGCCCATGACAGATTACGGGCCTGGCAGCAGCATGAGGAGTCGGTACGGGGGCCCATGGCAGATTACGGGCCTGGCAGCAGCAATGGGAGGCCCGTAATCTGCCAGCACCCTATGACAAAATGGAACCCACCAGCAGTGTGAGGAGACCTGAAAGTGGCACATGGCAGAGTGTGGCGATGGAGACAGCAGCAATGGGAGGCCGTACAGGGACCCATGACACACTCTGGACCTGGCAGCAGCATGAGGAGGCGGTACAGGGGCCCCATGACAGATTACGGGCCTGGCAGCAGCATGAGGAGTCGGTACGGGGGCCCATGGCAGATTACGGGCCTGGCAGCAGCAATGGGAGGCCCGTAATCTGCCAGCACCCTATGACAAAATGGAACCCACCAGCAGTGTGAGGAGACCTGAAAGTGGCACATGGCAGAGTGTGGCGATGGAGACAGCAGCAATGGGAGGCCGTACAGGGACCCATGACACACTCTGGACCTGGCAGCAGCATGAGGAGGCGGTACAGGGGCCCATGACAGATTACGGGCCTGGCAGCAGCATGAGGAGTCGGTACGGGGGCCCATGGCAGATTACGGGCCTGGCAGCAGCAATGGGAGGCCCGTAATCTGCCAGCACCCTATGACAAAATGGAACCCACCAGCAGTGTGAGGAGACCTGAAAGTGGCACATGGCAGAGTGTGGCGATGGAGACACAGCAGCAATGGGAGGCCGTACAGGGACCCATGACACACTCTGGACCTGGCAGCAGCATGAGGAGGCGGTACAGGGGCCCATGACAGATTACGGGCCTGGCAGCAGCATGAGGAGTCGGTACGGGGGCCCATGGCAGATTACGGGCCTGGCAGCAGCTGGCAGCAAGCAAGCTAGGCCCGTAATCTGCCAGCACCCTATGACAAAATGGAACCCACCAGCAGTGTGAGGAGACCTGAAAGTGGCACATGGCAGAGTGTGGCGATGGAGACAGCAGCAATGGGAGGCCGTACAGGGACCCATGACACACTCTGGACCTGGCAGCAGCAAGAGGAGGCGGTACAGGGGCCCATGGCAGAGTGGCGAAGCGTAAGCAGCTTAAATTGAAGGCCATACAGAGCCTATGTTAAAAATAATAACATGTTTGGGGCATGATTCATGGCGGATTTAGTCAGTTGTGTCAGGAACTGGTGGTTTGAAATCCAGACTAATCCACGCCTGATTCATTTTCACAAACGTGAGTCTCTCCACACTTTGGGTGGACAGTCGTGTCCTCCGCGGAGTTACAATACCTCCTGCCGCACTAAAACACGCGCTCCGATGCCACGCTACGCTACTGGCCGGGCATGACAGCCTTTCAAGGGCAAATTCAGCTAGTTGGGGCCAAAGGTCAAGTTTCGTTGCCCAGTAGTCAAGGGGATTGTCTACCTCGGTTGGCAGGGTGCTGTCCAAGTAGGCCCAAGCCTGTTGTTTGAGGTCCTGCTCCAGGTCCACCTGATGCTGCTGCTGCTGCTGCGGCTGGTTAGTAGTTTCCTCACTGCGCTGGTGAAGAAAGCTACTCATCATCGACTGCAGACTGAGGCAGCCGCTGCTGGTGGAGCTGCCACTGCTCCTACCACCCCACCCCTCCCCTGCTGCCATGGCAGCGGAACGCGAGCGCACAGGGCCCACAGTGTCTGAGGATGGACGTTGGCGCAGAAAGGCAGAGACCAACTGACTACATAGGTGGTTTTTATAGTACGTTATTTTGGCCTCCCTCTCAGCAGGTGTGAAAAAGGCCACCATTTTTGAACGGTAGCGAGGGTCCAACAAGGTGGACAGCCAAAAGTCATCCCTCTGTCTGATGGTATTATTCGGGCTGTCGCTACGCAAGCAACCGAGCATGCTATGGGCCATTTGTGCCAAGGAATGCGAGGGACTCCCTGCCTCCATCTCCACAGCATACTGCCACGGTGCGTCTGGGTCCTCTGTCTCCTCCTCCTCCTCCTCTACCAGATGCTCCTGCTCCTCCACTCCTGTCCGCTGAGTGGAAAAACCACCCATTTCACTCAATAATTCCTGAGCACCAATGTCCTCCTCTACCTCCTCCTCTTCTTCCTGTCCTGCCCCCACAGGGGTCATGTGGCGTTGAGATCTGTGCGCCACGTCTACCGCACCCTGACCAGCCATTGTTAACAGCATTTGTTCCAGGACGTGCAACAGAGGAATGACGTCGTTCATCCCATAGTCCTGCCGACTCACGAATAGCGTGGCCTCCTCAAAGGGCCTGAGCAAGCGGCAGGTGTCACGCATGAGCTGCCAATGGCTGACATCTAAGTTACACAGGGGAGTACCTTTATCCGCTTGTAACATCAGGAAATCGGTGATGGCCTTTCGCTGTTCGTAAAGGCGGTCTAACATATGTAGGGTTGAATTCCACCTTGTTGCAACGTCGCAGATCAGGCGATGCTGTGGAATTCCGTTCTGCCGCTGCAGCTCAAGGAGGGTGTGCTTTGCGGTGTAGGAATGGCTGAAATGCATGCAAAGTTTACGTGACATTTTAAGGATGTCTTGCAGTGGGATGGTGGATTTTAGGAACCGCTTGACAACCAGATTGAACACGTGAGCCATGCATGGCGCATGGCACAACCTTCCTTGACGCAGAGCAGACACCATGTTCTTTCCGTTGTCGGTCAACATGGTTCCGATTTTCAGTTTGCGCGGAGACAGCCATCTGTCGATTTCTCTGTTCATTACACTCAGAAGTTCCTCCCCTGTGTGACTACGTTCGCCAAGGCATACCAGGTGCAGCACAGCGTGACACCGTTGCGCCCTGCACATGTGATATGCCGGTCGGGTAATGGGACTTGGCACGGGGGTGGCGGCTGAGGACACGGCGGAAGAAGAGGTGGTAGAGGCGGACATCTTTGCTGGACCAAGGACGTGCAAACGTGGAGGCAAAAGCGGCGTGACCTGTCCAAGTTGCTGGTGCGGCTGTGCCGGCACCACGTTCACCCAGTGGGCCGTAAATGACATGTACTGTCCCCTGACCGTAGTTACAGCTCCACACGTCGGCGCTGCCGTGCACTTTGGCAGAGACCGACATGCTCAAAGACTGGCCCACCATCTCTTCTACATGTGAATGCAGGGCTGGCACTGCCTTTTTGGCGAAGAAATGCCGGCTTGGCACTCTCCACCGCGGCGCGGCACAAGCCATCATTTCTCGGAAAGGTGCTGAGTCCACCACTTGGAAAGGGAGGGACTGCAGCACCAGCAACTTGGACAGGAGGACGTTCAGCTTCTGCACCGTCGGGTGTGCGTGCTCGCAAACTGTTGTCTCTTGGAAACGGATTCCAAGAAAGACTGCTGACGGAATCCGTGAAGAGGAGTAGCAGGAGAAGGAGCATCTGAACGAGCGGAAGATGCCAACGAGCGACAACTCCCCTCAGCAGAGGTGTTGGAGCCTTGACTGGCTGATAGAGGGCGATTGACGTCGGGTGACGGAGCAAGTAACGGAGCGGGTGATGGAGCGGGGGCTGGGGCTGGGCAGGCAGAACCGCCGTATCTTTATCACGGTTTTTCCCAGGCCACCGAATGGCGACGCTGCATATGCTGACGCAACGCTGTAGTCCCAACATGGGCCCCCTGGCCACGCTTGACTTTCTGGCCACATAGTCGACATACGGCTACGTTTACTTCCTCGGGCGGCTTGACGAAAAATTGCCACACCGCCGAGTAGGAAACTTTGCCCCCGCTACTCCTCACTGGCTGACTGCTACTTCCTCCGTGCACACCGGCACCACTACTGGCCGTGGTGGTAGGCTGCAGTGGAGCTGGGTGCTCTACTCCGTGGCCGTTTGCCTCCACTGACACTGCTGCGACCCTGCTGCCTCCTGGGCAACCCACCGACTGTTTTGCTCGCTGCCAAGCTGGCACCCTCTTCTCCTGATGATGCGGAAGCAATAGCCTGATGACGACGAGGCTGCCAAGTGCGATCAGCCTCTCATCATCATCAATTAGGGTCTCCGCCTCACTACTAGCCCCCTCGGCTGCGTGTGGGTCAGGAGACAGACCTGTCTCTAGACCGGCTACCGAGCCACTCTCCTCGCCAGTACTTCTTCGCCTGGCTGCTGAAGAGGCGGATGTCTCCCCCCGTTCCTGACCGCCCTCTGTTAGCTCTTCCTCACTGTACAGTGGGGCTGAGCCCACAGCATGCGATACTTCGCTTGGTGAGGGAACACCAAAGGACAGGGGCAGGTAGAGGACACGTGATTTCAGTGGGCTTGCTCCCGGGCCATGCCAACTAACGGTTGTGTCTGACGTACCCACCGACCGTTGGCTGTAGGTGTCAGAGGTGACCTGGGAAGAGGAAGACGACCGAGCCAACCAATCGATGACGGCAGGGTTGTCGGTGGAGACACGACCGCTGGATGACACCGGGAGCACTGGCCTCTGGCTGCGACTAGTGCTGCCTCGACCCCTTCCTCTGCTGCCACGTCTGCTCGCTCCTGAAACATTGCCTCCTCTGCCACTCCTCTGCGTGTTGTCTGACATACTCTTTAATTCAACGATTCTGTGTCCCTGAGTAACGATTCTGTGTCCCCTGAGTAACAATTCTGTGTCCCTGAGTAACAATTCTGTGTCCCTGAGTAACGATTCTGTGTCCCTGAGTAACGATTCTGTGTCCCTGAGAGATTCTGTGTCCCCCTCAGTAACGATTCTGTGTCCCTGAGTAACGATTCTGTGTCCCTGAGTAACAATTCTGTGTCCCTGAGTAACGATTCTGTGTCCCTCAGTAACGATTCTGTGTCCCTGAGTAACGATTCTGTGTCCCTCAGTAACAATTCTGTGTCCCTGAGTAACGATTCTGTGTCCCTGAGTAACGATTCTGTGTCCCTGAGTAACGATTCTGTGTCCCTGAGTAAACGATTCTGTGTCCCTGAGTAACGATTCTGTGTCCCTGAGTAACAATTCTGTGTCCCTGAGTAACGATTCTGTGTCCCTGAGTAACGATTCTGTGTCCCTGAGTAACAATTCTGTGTCCCTGAGTAACGATTCTGTGTCCCTGAGTAAACGATTCTGTGTCCCTGAGTAACAATTCTGTGTCCCTGAGTAACGATTCTGTGTCCCTGAGTAACGATTCTGTGTCCCTGAGTAACAATTCTGTGTCCCTGAGTAACAATTCTGTGTCCCTGAGTAACAAACAATTCAATTCTGTCCCTGAGTAACGATTCTGTGTCCCTGAGTAACAATTCTGTGTCCCTGAGTAACAATTTCTGTGTCCCTGAGTAACGATTCTGTGTCCCTGAGTAACGATTCTGTGTCCCTGAGTAACAATTCTGTGTCCCTGAGTAACAATTCTGTGTCCCTGAGTAACAATTCTGTGTCCCTGAGTAACAATTCTGTGTCCCTGAGTAACGATTCTCTGTGTCCCTGAGTAACAATTCTGTGTCCCTGAGTAACAATTCTGTGTCCCTGAGTAACGATTCTGTGTCCCTGAGTAACGATTCTGTGTCCCTGAGTAACAATTCTGTGTCCCTGAGTAACAATTCTGTGTCCCTGAG